TATGGTGCTCACCGGCCAGACAGACGGACGAGTGGACACACACTCCTAGATCCACTCTAAAAATCCTGTAACGGATTTGGTCCAAAGAGACCTACCCTCTGTGGTCATATGGCTGAGAGTATAACAGAAGCGACATCTAGTGGAGAAAAAATGAATCAAGAACAAGTTAAAAAGCAGTAAGTTCGGCCAGGCCGAACTTTGAATACCCTCTACCATTTGGAACGAATATGGAATTTTTCAAAAAAAAAAAAAATCGTTAAAAAATTCTGTTAAAAATTTAAAAATACCGAATATAGCCGTTATATTGGGGTCTATACGACGTGGACCTACATAGGCACTGTTTGTCATAAGCCATTACCATATTCAAATTCGAAACTTGAAATAAACGGTGAGTAATGTAGTGAAAATCATAAAAATATCGTATATAGGGAGGTACGGTTATATCGTAGCTGTGCGAAGAACTGGACCAGCATAGACAATTTTCTGTCACAGGCTGTAGTATCCATTTCGAACTTCAAATACCAAAGTTCAAACAATTCCGTTGAATAATGTCGCTAAAATCATCAAAATACCGAATATCGGGAGATACCGTTATATGGGGGCTATATGAAGACGTGGACCTACATGGCCCATTTACGAACTTAACCTGCCTGCTGGAAAAATAAACATGTGTGTAAAACTTTAGCCTTCTATCTCAATTCCTTCGAAAGATAGCGTGATTACAACAGACAGATGGACATCGCTATATCGACTTAGAATTTTACGCTGATCAAGAATATATATACTTTGTTGGGTCGAGGAGTTACAAACGGAATGACAAAGTTAATATACCCTCCATAGTATGGTGGAGGGTATAAAAACATATACCAACACCAAAAAATCTTTTATTAAATTTTATTAAAGCCATAACGGCATTCAATATAGCCCTATTTCTTCCCTTTAACTTTCTCCTAAAACTTGTATAAAATAGTACCCATTAGAATATGCTTAAATCTGTTACAATTTAATGACCAGAATGGCACGTTAACATTTTTATGGTTAATATTTCGCTGATGGGTAAAAACCAACTGCCGCTGTTGCTGGAAGTCATTTTAATAATGGACTACCTATAAAAGCTAATTTTTATGTAGCTGGGCACACACAAAACATACATATATAAATGTAAATTTAATCATGGTCTTCATAACAATAACAACATAAATGCAGACAAACATACACACACACACACACCCGCACACGCAATAGATACTCATATGTTTAATAATAATAAAAGCCATTGTTATTATCCGATATCATCTATGAGTGGATTTTTGTCGTTGCTGTTGTTGTTGTTGTTGTTCCATGATGAGACGACCAATAACTTCCCAAACAAAAACAACAAAAAATCTAGATTTCCACGTAGCATTCTAGATAGCCAAACATACACACGTGCATTGTAGAGACAATGTAAAACATTTGTTCGCCAGAATTCTGATTGTCCTGCGTGGAGAAGTCCTTTGGAATCACATAATCCAAATCAAAGACATGTTTCCTCAATCTTCTCCAAAATGTCTGTCACCGACAGACAGACAGACAGAGAGTGAGAGTGACAGCCAGTCCTTAACGAATTGACTGTGTCGTTGCGTCTAACCTTCTTCAGATTCCAGATTTGGCCAACACAACACAAGCTGCTGTTGTAATGCCTTAGGACAATATTTACATAAAGGCAACAACAAACAGAGAAAAAAAACAAAAAAGGATTGCTAAGGGATTTTTTATGTTCAAGAATATCTTTGGAGATTATATGATCCCCCATTGAAATGCCATGATGGTATTTTATGAAGAAATAAAACTGTATTGCCATTTTGCTTGCCAAAATTGAGATGCGAAGACTTAAATAATGGATTTTTTATACCTCCTGCATTCTGGATATCAGTGTCACTCCCATATATGTTAGGACAAAATTATTAAGGTACTTTCAAAATTTATATAAAAAGATATTAACAAAAAAATTACGATTTTTCGTGGCCAGAAAATACGTACTTGTTTCGGGTGATATCTTCCTTTAATCCTTTAGGTTAATTTGTAAATGGTTGGGAAACCCATTTTTTGGTAATGGGAGAATTTGCTGGGCTCAAAACTGTTTATGTCATTCCACCTTAGAGGAACTCTTAGTTTCAATGACACCCTGGCCGGAGCACTTCTTACAATGGCCGGTGCAATTAATTGTTCCTAGTACTTTTAACAACTATCTCTGCTCTGTCACAAAATTAGCTCTGTGTAACTTTGAGACTCCGTTTAAGAAGGATACAATGTCTCAAGAGCAGATCAAACATTTACTCGTTGTTAGTAGTATTTGAATAACTAGGATTAGGTCTGCTCAAGAGTTTGTCCTCTTGGCGACATTTGTGGCATATATTTCGACTGGGTCTTCCTATTGTCTATGCGAACTGGTGTTCATTGGGCGGCGATAATTGTTGAAGCCTCTAATTTTTTTTTTTTGACAATTGGCATTCCCATTGTTACGGCCCACATTCAGAGTTTATGAATTTTAGTGTCTTGCTGGCATGATGATAAAATGGCCGTCTGAACTGAGGAGGTGATTATACCAAAAAGGACACTTACATCTATTTCTTCTTCAAGGGTTAACCTATCCACTGAGAACGTGAAATATTAGACCACATTTGATTGGAAATTGGAACTAAACATATCGAAATAAATATCGAAAACCAGGAGGTACCTTTATGTGGATTCAATGCCAAAAACTGCACCTATATTGATTATTATTATTTATGAGTGTTGTATCTGAACCTGTTCCATGTTCAATACTAAACTTCCTAGGAATAATATCAATGCCAGTGCAAATTTTCATAGCTCTATCTTGAATAGGGGGTTCATATATCCTCCATTCCATGGTAGAATGCACAATCATATGGTGCCAAGAACCGAAATTTTCCACATTTATACTAGAAAAGTGAGGAGAACTCTTTAATCAGGGGCAAATGAGACCGATAAAGACTCATTGGGGTCTTCATTGACTTAGCAAAGTCTTGTAGTACTTTGTTTTAAAATATAAGCCGGGGTAATTCAAGAAATGTTACTGCATTCTTTTAATGGATGTGATTTTGCCCAAATAGAGAAAATTAATAGTTTGCAGGTGAATTCAATCCCGGCTGGCACCAAAAAAAAAAAAAAAATCAGAAGCAGAGTTTTTATACCCTTACCCATATGGCTAGATAGGGTATATAAAATTTGTTACGGCCAAAACGTACCTCATCGAAATAACAATTTCGGACAATAGGTCTCTTTGGATCAAATTCATTTCAGGTCAATTGGAGTCGATCTAGTCATGTCCATCTGTCCGTCTGTCTGGCTGGTACGTACAATAATTCTCGAAGGGTGTATTCGATTTGGTCCAAACTTGGTACATCGTAACATTATTATCAAACTTAGATCGAGTTCCACTCTTTCTGGTACCTCCCACACAAAAGGTAGAAATTTTTAAAATAAAAAAGGATAATCCGATTTTGTTTCAATTTTGCAAATCTTAATATTTGCATTGGGGCTAGGTCAGGTGCGAAAATGGACAATATCGGTCCACTTCATCAAGTACCTCCCCCACAAAGGGTCAACATTTGGAATAATTACTCTTTTAAGATATGATACAAGAGTCCGATTCTCTTTAAATTACACACATCACAACATTATTATTGACCTAAGATGTGGTGTGAAGATGGAATATATCGGTCCATTCCTTCTGGTACCTCCCCTACAAAGGGTCAAAATTTTGAATATCCATTAAGCTCATAAAATGCGAAATTAATATCCGTCTTTTATCTGTGTTATATGAAGTGTCAAAATGGGATACTTCGGTCAGCTATTTCTTGTATCTTACGCACATTTTAATTTTTTCTACATATTATCACATTTCTGATATAAAATGAAGGAAGTAGTCGATATAGTCCAAATTTGCACGTCGCAATATTTAGGTCCGACATGAAATTGACAAATTTAGTCCATTTCTTCCGCTCCTACCCCATATAGGGTCAAACATTTGAATAATCATAACAGAAGTCAAAATATATTTCAATAATCGAACATTGACTGAGAATATACATCTGTCGGCAAATCCGACTGAAATAATCTGTCAGTTTTGTTTTTTTTGTTTGTTTTGAATTTGATTATGTTGCCTCCATTGATTAGCTGCAATTTTCGCAAATGAAGTAAAAACAAATTTCCAAATATATCAGAGAAAATCCTGCAACCCTAATACCTATCTGAAATTTTTTCTACTACTTTCGAAAAGTTTTAGGTAGAGTCTCTTGAGAAAAATTTAATAAATGCTTCAAACGGATAAAAATTGATTTCCTTACATTGAAATCGCTGAAATATATTGAACAAATTTGGTCCACAATACAGCATTGGGATTATGGGATAAGGGTTTAAATCCACTTTCACAAATAGTGTTTAGTATTACTTTAGAAATGTCTGCCACTAGATAGAAAGAGCGTTTTCAGAACCCATGTCTCTTCGAACGATATTTGCTTAACGACATTTGGAGTCGATCTAAACAAATCCGTCGTTCATGGTGGGCGCACGATAACTCTAGAGAAATCCCATTAAATTCACTCTTTTTTTTTGGATCATTGCAGGTTTTTGAAACGATTCGCTCAAATTTCAGGGAGTTTTTGTTTTGTGTGGTGGAAAATACAAAAAAATTCATCCCGGCCGAACTTATCGTCTAATTTACTTTTTATAAAAACAGTAGCACTGTAATTAAAGTTGAATTAATTTCCATTTATAAACACAACTTCTGCCTACCCACAATCCTTGTCGTGTCGAATATCCGGACATATTTGAGTCGCGAATCAATTTAAAATATGTTTTTTTCTTTGACATCCTCAATTAAGATTCTATGAAAACTTATTCTAAACAAATAGTTTTTTTGCTTTAGTAAATTCCTTACACATTTGTTCGAATATTTCAAATTTTCAAATGTCAAAAAAAATAAATAAATAAAATAAAATATTCAGGCATGTCACAGAATGTAAAATCGTTCAAGAGTGAAAACGAAAACGGTTTTAGCTTCTCTAAAAAACGGAAAACGCAAAAATTTTGCGTTTTGATATCACTTTCAAAAAGCAGGGTGAAATTGAAATGTTTAGTGATTTTAACGTAAAAAATAAACAGAAGACACATACATTTAACAGAAAATATTGTATTAACCAAATTCTCTTAGAATGAGCATGTTTTTGGAATTTATTTTACAAAAAATCTATTATTTTTCTAATCCATGATGAAAACGCAAAAAAATATGCAGAAATGAACGGCAGACTTGTATTGTTGAATTATTGTCATATGTGTTAAAGAAGAAGGTGTAGAAATGTACAACTGACAGACCAAAAAGCAAGAAGGGGAAAAACAAAAAAAAAAACAATTAATTGTTTGGTTTGAGACAGAGCGCTTCAGTCAATCGGGCAAAAATGTAAGTATTTACATACATATTTCTAAATTTTCGTCAAAAACTGTTTATTTAATTTATTTTATACTTTAGGGGCAAACACCGAAACGTTAAACAGGACAACATTTTTATCAATTTTATGGATAAACATCACGATATTGCCAGGGGCTATGTAAAAGGTGATAAGGTTGTTGTTGATTCCCTATGGACAGAATTGACAGCTTTGCTGAATAGTTCAGGTCCACCAAGTAAAACCTGTAAAGAATGGAAGAAAGTTTGGTCAGATTGGAAAGGAAATGTTAAGGCGAAGATGTGCCATAATAAAAAGGACTTGCGAGGAACTGGTGGTGGTGATATCAATCAATATGTTTTCAATGAACACGAGAACAGTTTAATCAGAATTTGCGGATTGTATAAAAGTGTCGATGGAGTTGGTGGTGCAGTAAGCTTTGCGGATTTTGTAAGTGAATTAGACCTCAGTTGTTCTGAAAAAGAAAACTTTGATTCGTCATCATCTACACATATTCCAAGAACTCGAAAATCAAGTCAATTAGTTTTAAGTGAATCTGAAAACGAAGAGCTTAATTTTTCACCCTCAACTTCAAAGCAGACCACTTCGATTTTAAATAAAAAAGATAGACCAAGATCATGCATTCCAGCTGCTTTTAAAAATGTTTCTACATTGGCAATTGATCCAAGAACACCAACATTGGAAGAAAACCGTTCGCGAACACCTATTCAAAAACGACTTAGAAATAAAAGCTTATCGTGTTCTCCGCCATCTACACCAATAAGACAAGTGTCGGGCAGCCTAACAAAAGCAAAACCCACGCCTGCAGTAAAAAGACCCCGGGCAAGAACTCCCTCAAAGCAAGATCTAAATGCGCTTTTAGTTGAGGAAAATTCTCATTTACAAAACTTGGAAAAAATTTGTAAAATTCTATTATTTCTAATACGTTTGGCTACGTTGTACATATTTATTTCAGGGTAGATGTCCACAATATTTTGGTCGTTTTCAGAATTTTCCTCATTTGTAACAGGTATCTCGTCTTCTTCGCAAGTATTGAAGCCCCTGGCATTTTTTACTTTTGGTGTTTATATTATAAAAAAACAATTTAAACTCCTTTTTTAATTGTCAATAAATTGTTTACGACTTTTTTTTCATGGAGTTACCATATTTTTATTTCAAAAATGTGAAATGATTTTTTTTCCGGATTAGTCAAATCGTACGAGTGCTGAAGAAGCAAAAGCAAATCGTAACGATTTGGAAAAGGTGAAATAAATCGATTTCGTAAAACTTCTGTGACATGCCTGATTAAAATTGTTTCACACATATTTCAATATTCTCCACCATAGAATGGGGGGATATAAAGTTTATCATTCCGTTTGTAACTCCTCGAAATACTGATGTCAGACCCAACGATTCTAAGTCTATTTAGCGATGTCTCTCTCTCTTTCTTTCTCTGTGTTTGTCTGTCTGTTGTAATCACGCTTTTTTTGAACGAATTAAGATAGAAGGTTAACATTGTGTATTTTCCCAGTAGGAAGGTTAAGTTCGAAAATGGGTCATGTCGGTCCACGCTTTCGTATAGTTCCCACAATACTCGGTATTGCGTATACCTCTCAAAACTCGGTATTTTTAAGATTTTAGTGGCTGGATTCACTGGAACTGTTTCATATTTCGTAATGGATACTACAACCCATGACAGAAATTTACTACGGTAGTTTCTCGCCTTCGTATAACCCCTATATAACGGCTGTCGCTTAGCCGGATTTTTTTTACGTATTTTTTTAATTTTTTTCAAATTGCTTCCAAATGTAGGAGGTATTAAAAGTTCGGCCCGGCCGAACACAGGTGTTTTTTAATTTGTTTTAATTTTATTTAAATTAATTGTAGGAAAACAAATACTGATATTATGACAAAGGGAATGAGAGCAAGGGGACTTGATAAGATAAATATTGTAATACATCTTCCCTAGGCAAACAAAAAAATTGACGAGACCTTTGCTCTTCGGCTGGGGCGACCCATACACTGAGGATCTATGTGTTTATATTCCAATTTTCTAAAAATAGATATTTTTAAATAACAGAACCCCAAAAATTCTGAGCTAGTAAAACGAATTGAATTGTTAATTACTATAATTTCATCAAAATTGGGTTCTAAGTGGCTGCATTACAATAAAGTGCATGATTGAGGGGCAAACCCTCCATGGTTTCTGTGGTTCCGTTCGCATCCATAAGAAATGAGAATCGAGAATGGAAAGTAGCGAGAATTTTCAATGTTTGTGATTTTTATTGACTGTGAAAGTGTATCTGGGGGTATTAACGATGTAAACAACTCAGCGTTGTGGTGTTGGGCACGTTCACAACGCGATTCTATGGCTGCAACAACAACCAAACAACTAAAATAAAATCGAAAAACAAAAACAACGCGAATCCTCGAAAATCCATTTGTTTGGTTGTTCAGAGCGAACGAAGAAGCGTCGGTGATGACAGTGGCATAGCCGCACATTTTAATGCATTATCGTCACCTTTCACTATCGTCTGTCTGTAACGATGTGAACAAAGCACACACACACAGGCATAGTTGCACACATGTGGTGGGTTGGGGATACAAACTCAATCAGACAATGGATTTTGTGGGGAATTAAATTACATTTATATGAGACACACAGAGAGAGAGAGGGAGAGAGAACGTGTAAGTTCATGTTTGTGTGCGAGTGTGGTGGGCTTAAAATATTTTATAGACAATACGATTCGTTCGTTTTGTGCAGCAAACACCTGTGAAATTTTACGTAAAATTCTTTTTATTTTTCGTGGTATTAACACTTGTTTTTCTGGTTGAAAATTTCCCAGGTATTTTTTCGGCGTGAGCTGTATTTGGCTTGGGCATATGTTCAAAATAAATTTTCACAAAACAAAAGGAAATTTTATACTAATTTCACTTTCCGCAAATAAAAGGGATATGAGAACATAAGCCACCGAAGGAGAGAGGGAGAGAGACATACATACATATCTCTTACCAACTTTGTTAAGCGGTTGCTCTGAATAAAAAAAATAAATTACTTCTCCAAAGCCTTTGTGAAAACTTGATACACAACCAAATTTCAAAATCCTGGGAAATTTTATTTTTTTTTATTTACTTCCATTCATTTCTCGTATTTAAATAAACCCAGTCAGGGCAAACGAACCCAGCCTAAAGGCAAACATGTAAATGTTTTCATGAAGCGTCGTGTTTACATGAATAACCTTTTGCCCAAGTGCCAAAGTCCCGAGTTTTTGTATTTTTTGTTTGCTTACGAAGGATGTATTTAAATATTTCTCAGATCTTGTCGTGCCGCCCACTTCCCCTTCGCACCCTTTGTCACGATGTGTGCTACTTGTATTTCCACAATTAATTCAAATAAAATTAAAAAAAGACGTGTGAAATAATTTTGTTTTTTGTTGACATTCGAAACACGCAATTTTCAGACAACATATGCAAATGTAAGGAGGAGGATAGTGGTGAAAAAGGAAATTCCGGTGGAGGTGTAAGGAATTTAATGAAGCAAAAAATATGACTTATTTAGATAACGTTTTCAATGGAGCATCATTTTGATTGTTAAGGAAAATATATATATTTCTTTAAATTGTGTACTTTTGTTTTCTTGTCGGCTAAGCCAAACTCAGCTAATCTCCATAAGAACCCACTAAACTTTATGAAATATGAAGAATAGATTTCAGCCCTTCTTGGGGCTTATTGTTTTAAATACTAAATTACAATCCATTCGTTTTGAAATACCAGAAAAGGCGAATATAGAATATAGGATGGCCAAGGAACTTCGGAGGTGCTAGGGGATTCGAAGTAGAGTTGATCAACGGGAGTTGTTGATTAAGAAATTGACCATTTACGATGTCTCGTAGGCAAAACAGCGGACAATCGGGAACTATGATGTAGCGATGTCGGGTTGTTCACGATTGGTATTTGAGTCCATCTAATTAGGTGGAGCTCACGGCATATCTCAAAGGAGTATTCCATTTAATTTTTTTTTTTTTTGGGGTTCATTATAGGTTTTTGTAACGATAGGCTTACATTTTAAGGGAGTTTGCAGTTAATCGGAAACTATGATGTAGCGATGTCGGGTTATTCACTATTGGTATTCGAGTGTTTAATGTCAAGTTTGATTATCCGTCGACGCGATGGTGATCGGATACTCGTGGGTGGCAGTCGGATGTTGAAAAGTAGGAGAAAAAGGAATCACGAATTACGACGCTGGCGTTCGCGATGCTGACAATTGGAAGGTGATCGGAAACGTCTGGATATGTGACAGATGCTGATTGGTGTGGAAGATTGGTAATTACTATGCTTATATTCGAGTACCATTCGCGTTCGGGTTGTTAACATCCAGGCTTTTCGAGACATGTTGGGGATTCGCGGTATAATCGTTCGAGAACAGCCTTGGAAGAAAATATCCAGGTCGTCTTTGGTTGTTCGGGTTCGACAGCTCATGGTAGATTTGTTCGGGAGCAGATGTCCAGGCCTTCTGGGATTGATCGGGGCCGTTTGGGTTCTGCAGCTCACTGAAGTTATGTTCGGTATTTGGTGACGGTTTGGGGACTTGTGATACAATCGTGTGGCGAAGGCTGTTCTCTGTAGTTATGTTCTGGAGCAGCTCACTGTGGATATGTTCGGGTGCAGATGTCCAGGTCTTCTTAGATGGATCGGTGTTAGTTCGTGTTCTGCAGCTCACTGAAGGATTTTCGGCAGTCGATATTGTTTGGTGCGGAAGGTTAGGAATTGCAAAGTCTATGTTCGTCTAACGCTGATGTTCGGGATGTTGATGTCCAAGTCTTAGGAGACGGGTTGGGGACGCTCTAAGCTACTCGTGAGAAGATATTCCGATCGTCTTAGGTTGTTCGGGTTCGGCAGTTCACAGATGTCCAGGCATTCTGAGATGGATTGAGCTCGTTCGGGTTCCGCAGCTCACTGAAGGTTTGTTTGCCAGCCGTTGTTGATTTGTACAGGAGATCGGGAATTATGATGTTTATGTTCGTAGTGACGATGGTGTTCGGGATGTTGACGAATTGAAAGTAATCGGGAATTTCATTGAATGGTCATCGGCTGACGAGTGGCAGGTGTTTGGGATGTTAATGTCCTGGTCTTCAGAGACCGGTTGGGAATTCGTGGTATAATCGTTCGAGGACTGCCTAGGAAGAAGATATCCAGGTTGCCTTAGTATATTTTGGATCGGCTGTTCACGGTAGGTGGATATATTTTCCATGCCATCTGAGTTGGATCGAGGGTTCGTCATTCGTACAGCAGACTGAATGTATGTTGGGCAGCCGATGCTGATTGGTGTGCGAGATGAGGAATTATGATGTTTATTTTCGTAGTTATGTTGGCGTTCGAGTGTTGAAGATTTTAAAGTAATCGGGAACTTATGGACGTCGGTTGTTGATGGGTTTAATATAAACAGGAACTACGAGGTTGGTGTTCTTGGAGGTAATCGTAAACCTCAGTAAATGGTCATCGTTCGGGTTCGGCAGTGGGTATTTGTGTGGGTATTTTGTGGTTCATCTGTTTGGGGTCGTCTACAATGGCTAGGAAACTATTTAGCCAGAACGACGGTTTATAACTACATCTGATACGGTTTCTGCGGAACATTCCGAAGCCCTTGTGTCAATGAATTAGCGGCCATTCAAATTAATGAGATCCAGTTCAAAGATTGTATACCCAGCTAACGAATCTGTTAGTCGACGGACAGAAAATGATTCAAAAAATCACCAACTACTCTTTGGCAAGATTGTTCTGCAGTAGCAAGTCTCTTTCATCGTAACCCAAACCGAACAATATATATGACCGGCAATATCAAGTGAATGAGAATTATTTGCCTTATGCGGTAAACGACATAATGCCGAAAGCTGAATTGTTGGTTACGCAGGTAACGAATACTGGAGTGGTTGGTTGACGCAGTTCTCGTTGCTTGTGGTCTTCCTGTTGACGTTGTGTTGTTACTATTGACACAATGGTTGTATGTTCCGAATAGATTTCTAACAAATTCGCTCGAATTCGAGAAAAGGGTGAAACACACTCAAAGTTGAGCGGGAGCATTCCTGG